GTGCTACTTGGCTTGCAGGAGGCTGCAGAAGAGCTCTTGGGCGCCAAGGACCTCTTTATGTGGAAACAGGAGGGTAACAATTGGTTCCTCAACCACATTGCCAGCATCCAGTTCACTCAGCATTATTGGTGTTCATGTAAATTCCAAGAAGGACACTATCCTTCATTTGAGCATCACACCACCGTTGGAGAGATTGCTAGGTCCAAAACTTCAATTGTTCAATCAGTTCTGTCATCAATGTGCTGAGGGTGGCTATCCATACCTTGAGAGTGTGCCACCAACCTTTTCCAAGAGCTTGGGCCATATGTTGTGATTCAGCAATTGCTGTGTCTGCAAGTTTCTGCCTGCAGAGAAAGTATGGACTTTGTGTAACGTCTCCAAGCAAGAATTTCCATAGGGAGTAAACCTATTTCCAGAACCATGATCAGGTATGGAGCCTTGTACACTTTAAATTTTGCTGAGATGAAATGCTTATTGATTGCCTCGAGCTTGTCCCATGTGGTCTTGCTTAATCCTAGACCTCAACTTTCTACTCCATACAAGGCTACCATCATTACCTTTGTCTTGTAATAGGTGTGTTTGGCTTGACAGCAATTTGATTGGGCCCTACTCCAGTTTTCTGCGGGAGGCATCGATCAATAGTGTATCTTAGGTTTTCTTCGTGTGGTCCCTTGTAGTGGAATTTGCTTGCTGTGTCCAGGCCAAAATCCATCATTTTTGTCTTACTCATGTTGACAGCAAGGCCCATGGAGTCTCAAAATTGTGCCAAGGTGTGTAGTTGGCGTTAAAGTTCTAGCTGTGACGTGGCCAATAGAAGGAGGTCGTCCATATATATGAGCAGCTGCAGAATCATCCCAGCAAGCAAGATCGAGGACCTGCCATGAGAATTTCCAGCCCAGAGGGCAGGCCAGGTTCCGACCGCATTATAGTTGCATCAACCACTTGGTGACGCTGTGGGTAGCCCTGGACAAACTGCGTGCCCATAACCTCAGTTTATGCCTGCTATGTCAACATAGTAAAAAGACTTTGACAAGGTATCAAGGAGACTATTCACACGACTTCATGAGCTAAACGTCCCACTGAACTCATCAAGCTCATTCAGAGGCTTTACAAAAACGTGAAAGCGGACATTCTATAGCATATTCAGATTGACTGTGACACGGGTGTCCAACAGGTTGTCCCTTGTCACCCACTCTTGTTGGCCTATTCATTGACGCTCTACATCCTTTGGCTTCCGTCCAGCTCACGAGATGTTGCTCCACCACTTTGGCCAGAAGCTTTGCGAAGATTGTTGAGATCATTATAGTACGATAGTTGGAGGGTAGTGCTGGATCTCCTGCCTTGTAAATTGGTACAACTCTATTGATGTTCCAGGTCTGTGGAAAACCATGTTGGATGATTTCATGGAAAAGTTGGCAAAGGATGGGGGCCAGGTCAAGAGCTTGCAATAGCTCAGCCATGAATCCATAGACATCAGCAGCCTTCTTGCGTGGGAGAGACTGGACTGCTGCCTTCATCTGCTCTATGGTGATTTGAAGAGCTGGACATTGATCACAAGCAGTGCCAAAAATGTTCAAACTCCGAGCTTCCTACCTCATACAGCTGGTGAATATATTGAACCCGGAGTGTGATGTCCTTGATGATCACGTGCTTATGGAAAATACAATAATCTTTGGAAGGTTTACACCTCACTTCCAAGGCCTGCTGTGCATTAAAACATTTAGCGTGGAAGCGAGCTCATGCCATGGCTACTTTCCTTGAAATCTCAATGTAGAGACTGTGCTGCCAGGTGTCCCCTTCATCTGGCTTGCTTGTATGCCGTGTGAAGCCGATGGCACTCCTTGTTCCACCAGGGTTTGACTGGTAAGCCACGCTGCTGACGTGGCTTGCAGTGCCGTAATGGTTATGTGGCCCGGAAACTTATCTAGATGCCATGTTGTCCTTGTCTCCAGAGTTCTTCCACCGTGCATTGCAGAGCAAATGCATCAATGGGGCACAATCGATAAATCACTAATGCCTTTGTTAGCCATCCAATTTGAGCTTTTCCCCTAGCATGACTTAGGATAGTGAAGGCCGGTCCGACTGGTCAACGAACTCTAGTTGAAAGTGAGTCCGAGTTCCCTAGTAGGTAGTCAATTGTGCTGCACCCGACCTGTAGTTCCCCAAGATGTTGTTGTTGCCACACTGGGGACATTGCTAGAGTTGGGGAAAGCTGGAATCCCGTTCAAGATCCATGTTTCAGTTTCTTGGCAAAAGTTGAGCAGCGTTTGTCCCGTCCGGCGGTCAAATCTATCCCGACTGTGGCGTCTCCATTTCAGCTCCTCTGATTCCCCATCTTCTACCATGTGAGATGCCTGATATGAGCCTGTGCGGCAGTTCAAATCACCGGCTATGATGACCATCAAATGCTCCGCCCATGTGTGGAACCGTTCTGCCAGTGTCGCAAAAGGGAATGGTGTACCCATGACAAAGTCTGGAGAGAAGTAGCAAACCACGAGGATGGTGTCCTTTTGCCTTGGCGAGCTTATGCGGATTGCTACAGAGTTGTTTTCCTCATCTTGAAACTGGAGTGAGACGCTTGTGATGGCTTGATCCTTGATGTAAATTGCGATTCCCCCATTTCCCCGGCCGGTTGGTGTTGAATTCCAGTTCCAGGACCAATGTGAGTAGCCTGGGAAGTCCGGCAACCTCCTTTCCGGGTGCTCCCAAGTTTCAACTAAGCAAAGGATGTCAAATCGATTGTCCAAGCCGGAGTTGTGGGGCAAGCCATGGCAGTGCCAGATGAGGATCTCAAGCTTGGAGTCAAACGGTATTGTGTAGTCCTTTGGTCGACCCATCCTTCTAGGCTTGGCTTTTTTAGAAGAAATATGTATTTACTTGTTGAACTTACATTGGATGGCCAAACTGCTACAAATGAGAGTTCGTGAAAATAAAAACCGATTCTTCTATCCACTTTCTAAAAAATGTGGAGGTGTTACTAAGTTTGCTGAAGCTGATCTTGGTTGCCGTCACGGCTGTGTGAAGGCCCTCCTATTCATCAACTTCTTCTGGATGGCACCTTGGAGTTTTGTTGCTGCAGTTTTCCCCAACAGTGCTGCCATTTTTTGGTCATGGTTGTCGTAGAAGCTTGGACGTTGCGTGGTCTGTACGGGTTCTTCCTCCTCTTCCTCTTGAGTTGCCGGCTGGCCCAAATGGAATGGGGCTGGGGTTGATGGAGGCGAGATGAGAATCACCTGATCAGTGTCGGTTGTGATGGTAGCAATGTTGCCTTTGCTACTTTTCCCGTCCCAGTTCTAGAGCCTTTCGCTTTTGCTTGGGCCAAAGCTCTGCCTGGTGGTGCCTTTCGCTTAGGGGCCGAGCTCAGTGGCGGTTGTGGTTCTGAGAGCACCTTGGCCTGGAGCCCGAGGTATATCTCCTTGGACTTTTTGTCCGGGAAAACTCCCATCGCGATCCTAGGTTGCCTTGGCTTCTTCCTCGGCTTGGCTGGTGGAGATGATGCGTCACTTGCCTCAGGGAAGGACACCAGATTGGCTCCTTGGGTATCCTTGGATGGGGGCTTGTCCTCCCATTTCCCTTCCAGAACGTCCTGGAATATAGACATCATCAGTTGCATAGCGGCTGTTTTGTTACATGGGTGGCTTGAACTTGTCAAGGCCTGTGTTGGGTGGTGCTGTTGCCACTGGTGTCATGAAAGTGGTATCCGGTTCTTCTGGTACAGTTGTCTTTGGATTCGAAGTAGACGCAGGTGGGGGCCGCTTCTCCTCTTCGGCCGTCGTTACGCCTAGGATGTGCCAGAATCGCCATCCCTTTGAGAAGTCCCTTCGAGACACGTCTACTTTGTTAGGGACATTCTTGAACTTTAGCTTGTAGTAATGACGTCCGTACTTAATGTGAGATGGCAACCTCAAGTCCACTGGGACTGCCACTTTGACCTCCCCAAGGGTGCTGTCTGCTTTGATTACTTTTCCCAAGCTACGCAGTGCGTCCTTTGCTGTCTCCATATCTGTGCGGTGCCCGTCCAACTCCAGCATCATCATCCGGGAAATGTGGTGGTGGTTCTGCTCCGTAGGCTTGAACATAAGCCAGCTTCCCGTCCCTCGTGAACGTACCCTCCGCCCACACATGCTTCATTTGGTCGTGGTGCTGGAAGGTGACAATGAGCTGAGTTGAGAGGGGTGTGGATTTTGAAGTCTGCTGCTTGGTGTTAGTCCCAAATGTGCTGCCCAAACCATCCTAATCCTGGCGTTTGAAACTTGGATCGTCAATCTTGAGAATCAAGCTGAAATACTCCACATCATCCTTCTCTTCCAGATTTCCGAATGGCAAGGGCAAGTGTTGGTCCCTCGTCGCGGAGCGGCTTGGGTAGCGCGGGCTTCCAGGCTGTAGGTCATTGCGCTTTCGTCACCACCGAGAGATCAACCAATCGCCAAGCCACTTCCGCTCAGACAGGTATGGTCACCACCGCAGCCAAAATGGAGGAGTTATAAACCCCAATTAATATATTTAATTGTTTATCCTCACCACTCAACTTCACTAGTAGTTAGGAAAACCCATATTTTATCGTCCACATGTGAATTAAAACGTGTCGCGACTTGGTCCTCAAGACTTGGTCGAGATTGTCAATGGTTGTGGTCGACAAATAAATCCCTGTCACGATGAGATCCTCTTATCGTTTCTGGAAGAGATTGTGGTCTCTACAAGAAGCTCTGGCCACATTTCAGGCACGTTTTGTGAAGCATTCAATCAGCACAAGAAAATGTTCAAAACTATTGGCACTCCACCTCTTTAGGTTCTTGAGAATGTAAAGGGAAAAGAAGGAAAATAAATAAATAAAAATGTTTGCAAGAAACTTCAAAGAGACTTCCCAAAATGCTTACTCGAGAGCCAAAACACGAGACGCTTTCGTTAAGCAAATCAGATGGTAGTTGAGGTAAAGCTGTTTGAAAATCAGGCTCAAACGACGCCTTTTATCTTCTATCTAGGTCTGGTTCATACGCGGCCACGAATTACTCGTGGTCAAGGAAGAACACGTTGTTCTTCAGGTGGCCAATCAATTTTGCCGATGGTAGATATATTTAAAGCCCTGTCAGATCCCCCTAGAGATTGAATCTTTTGGGGAGATTCTGGAGTTTGATCTCTCCTTGCTCCCAATGGCCCTCTTGCTTTGCAATGCGGCATTCTTTCTTCTAGCTTGGCTCACGATCTCCGCAAGAGCCGATCAAACTGGCCTCAGCAGATGCGACTTTCCGGAAGATTTCATATTCGGCGCTTCAGCATCGGCGTTCCAGGTAGACAAATCTCGGGACCAAATTTCTCTCTTTAAAACTTGCGTCCGTTTCCTCTGTTAGTATGAAGGCGCTGTGGATGAGGGCGGGAGAAAGCCCAGCATCTGGGATATCTTTGCTGCGAACCCAAGTGGGTTTCTTTAGTCTCTTGCAAAGATCTAGCTCTCATTTCACGTGTTTCTGCCATTCAGGAAACATTGCGGATGGAAGTAGTCCAAACATCACGGATGATCAATACCATCACTACACGGTTTGTGCAAAGCAGAGCTTTCTAAAATCAAAAGCCCATGAACTTTTATCTTTCCAGGACGATGTTCTCCTGCTCAAGAACTTGGGGATGGATTCGTACAGGTTCTCAATCTCCTGGACTCGAGTTTTCCACGGTAAGGAGGATGAACTCAAGAACGCGAAACTTAAAAAAGTCTCCTTTGGCAGACGGTCGCGTGAATCCCGAAGGGATTGCGTACTACAACAACTTGATCGATGCTCTGCTGGAACACGGTAAGATCCAATCAATGCGGAGGATAGTTTTTATAAGATTGAAAGCACTGTTTACTTTTTTGGGCAGGAATCAAGCCTTTTGTCACTATCTATCACTGGGATCTCCCGCAAACTTTGCAAGATAAGTTTGGAGGATGGCTTAGCCGAGACATCGTGTAAGTTCCGGAAAAAGTTCTGCAAAGTTCTTCTTTGATGGAAAACTTCTCTCGATGTTTTGCAGGGACGAGTATTTGCGATTCGCAGACTTTTGCTTCCAGGCCTTCGGCGACCGCGTGAAAAACTGGCTAACTTTCAACGAGCCACACCAGCTGGTAAACGGAGGCTACGTCCAAGGATACTACGCGCCCGGCCGATGCACGGGCTGCCCGCAAGGAAACTCGAGCACGGAGCCATACATCGTTGGCCATCATCTCCTGCTAGCACACGCCAAGGCCGTCAAACTCTACAGGCGTAAATACAAGGTTCGCTTCCTCCAAACTCAAGGTTTTTTTTTTCTTTTCTCCAGTCCTTATCTGATTGACAAAGCAGGTCAACCAGCGTGGCGTCATTGGAATGACGTTAGACTCGTTTTGGTATGAACCATACTCAAGTCTTCCGAGAGATATCGCAGCTGCTCGTAGAGCTCTCGACTTTGAACTTGGATGGTAAGAAAATCTTCTCCGTTTTATCTCCGAGTGAACTCTCAGTTCTTCGCAGGTTCTTGCATCCAATTACGTTCGGAGACTATCCACAGTCGATGCGTCTCTACGTCGGGGATCGCTTGCCGGCTTTCACTGTCGAAGAGTCGAGAGATCTTCGAAACTCCATGGACTTTGTGGGCCTCAATCACTACACTTCTCGATACACTCAAGACAATCCATGGCCTAGCAACGTTCGTCCCGGCTACGAGAGTGACTCCCATACGCACTTTCTAAGTAAGCAATAGATTGATAGTTTCCTTGTGAATATATCTCACGAGCTCGATTTTGCAGCTCAAAGAAACGGGAATCCTATCGGAGGCACGGTAAACAATTCTCTAAAACACTTGTTTCTTCTTTTAATTGCTTGATCCTGATCTTGGGTCTGTTTGATTTATAGACTGGGACCTGGCTTTATGTTGTACCTTGGGGGCTTTACAATGTTCTCAACCACGTCAAGGAGAACTACAACAATCCTCCGATTATCATCACGGAAAATGGTGGGCTTGTCATGCTTGTCACTGGTTTTCTCAAGTCCAATTTTCCAGGATTGGTGGACATCGCCGATTCGAACACTTTTAGCGACAAGTTCATAAAGGATGGCGCAAGGGTTCAGTTCTATGAGTCGTATCTCACGAGCTTGCAGCAGGCCATCGCGTAAGCTTCCATAGGCCTGGTTCTTTCGATGAAAAATATTTCTCGTCTAAACTAAAGAATTTTTTTTTCCAACTCTCAGGGACGGTGTGGATGTTCGTGGCTACTATGCGTGGTCTTTTCTAGACAACTGGGAGTGGAATAACGGATATAGCCAAAGATTTGGTCTCTATTACGTGGATTACACGACATTGAAACGCTACCCAAAACATTCAGCACTTTGGTTTAAGCAGTTCCTCTCTAACACAAAATGTAGCGGTAAGTTTCTCTCTGTTTTTTTTACTGACTTAAGCTGGATTTCTAACAGTACTCGAGACTATGTAAAGCCAAAATCATTCTTTATTTTTTGTCTCTGGAGAGATGAATTGATTCATGGTCTTGAAATGGAGACCTTGTAAAGTATCATTGGAACCTTGTAAATAATAACAAGAAATATTCTCAGTTAAAACATAAATTTAAAACAAAAAAAAAAATGTCCGCACATAAACATCGACTTTGAGCTTCCTCCTTTACTTATAGCTCGTTACAGGTTCTTGCATTCAATTACGTTTAGAGACTATCACAATCGATGCGTCTTTACGCCGGGGATCGCTTGCCGGCTTCCACTGTCAAGGAGTCGAGATCTTCGAAACTCCGTGGACATTGTTGGCCTCAATCACTGCCTAGAAACGCTTTCTATTGGAGGCACGGTAATAATTCTATTGATTCGTCTCAATTTCATATCCTGATCTTTATGTTTTGTTTTAGAATATCAACCATGTCAAGCAGAACTAATCCTTCGATTATCACCGTGGAAAGTGATGGACCACTACATTTTGTGCTAGAGAGAAAGTGCTTCAACCAAAGCGCTGAATGTTTTCAAGGATGTGTGATCCATGTAATAGAGACCAAATCTTTGGCTATATGCGTTATTCAACTCCCAATTGACTAGCAAAGACCACGCCTAGTAGCCACGAACATCCGCACTGTTCCTGGGAGTTGAAAAAAACACCTATACTTTAGACAAGAAATATTTTCCATAGAAAAAACTATGGAATCTTATGCGATGGCTTGTTCGACCCAACGACGTCCATGGAAAATTGGACAGCTGACAAGAATGACAAGCACTCTTTTTTGGACAAGAAAAAAAAAACACCTTATTAAATGAAGAAAATCAAAATCATGGTTCGTATGGAGACGCCGGGTATCGATCCCGGTACCTCTCGCATGCAAAGCGAGCGCTCTACCATCTGAGCTACACCCCCGACTTTGAACATTTCCTGGAGCTTTCGTTTTTACTGAGTTTAACGTACAACAAACCACCCGCCCGTTACGGAGTTAGGGCACGTTGACACGTGGCACACTCTCGTTGCTTTTGAATTGTAGCACGTAAATAACGGCGCAAATCATCTTAGGGCTCCTTTCGGGTAAAAAAAAAATTATATCTTAGGGCTCAGTTCACGCTTAGTACAGGGAAGCGCGGCCTCGCTGGAGCGTATCACAGGGAATTCGAGGCGATTTCCAGCTCCGGCAGCGATCGGAGCTCCAGGGCCTGCATTGCGATCGCCAGCCGCGATTACTTCGCTTTAGGCTCGAATTCTGGCGGATCTGGGATGGAAGGGCCTCTCCAGCGCCGGGATTGCGGCATAGGGCGGCGAGCGGCGGGCTATGGCGGCTCGATTGTAGGCTGAGAGGACCTGCATTGCTCGCGGCGCGGCGGGGGTTCTTTGTCTATGGCGAGGGAGTGCCTGCTGCATGGGGGAAACCATGGCTCCGATCTCTACAGGCGCCTCGAGCTAAATCACGTCGATTCCCGGAGCTGCGAGAGGCCCCGGATCTTAGCCGTGCTGTCCTCGCTGCTGGATCGAGTGGTGGTGAAGAACGAGAGGTACGCCGCCAGCGCCACCGCAAACGGCCACTCCAATCTCACCGTCTTCCATGGCTTGCGCGCCCCCAGCATCAGCATTGACAAGTATCTGGAGAGGATTTTCAAGTACGCGAACTGTAGCCCCTCGTGCTTCGTCGTCGCCTACGTTTACATCGATCGATTCATCCAGCAAAAGCCCAGCTTGCCCGTCACCTCGCTCAACGTCCATCGATTGCTCGTCACTAGCGTCATGGTAGCGGCAAAGTTCCTGGACGACGCGTAAGTTCTACTCTCTCTCTCTTTTCTTTTGCCTCGTTTGGTTTTGGTCCAAAGCTGTTTCATTTGCCTTCCTTTCATGAAGTGGAGTTCTCTTGTGGAATCCAAGTTCTTCCTTGGTGGTGATTTCGGTCATAAGAGCTTGTCGCTTCTTTCATTTCGTTTAGTTTTGCTTTTGTTTCCTTCATGGCTTGGAAGCGCTTGTTCTTGGTCTTTCCATGTCCGAAAGGTTTTTGGTTTCGTGACTTTGTAACCATGGTTGCGTTTGCAGATACTACAACAACGCCTACTACGCCAAAGTCGGGGGCGTCAACACGCAAGAGATGAACCGGCTGGAGCTCGAGTTCCTCTTCCACCTCAACTTCCGGCTCCAAGTCACGGTCAGTGTGTTCGAGAGCTACTGCAACCGGCTGGAGAAGGAAGTGAGCGGCAGCCACATCGAGAGGCCCCTCCACATCCAGATTGGATGTGGCCTGGACGGTGGAGTCACCAGCGCTACTCAATCCAACGCCCCGGACAAGCAAAGGCTCCCCACTGTGAGATGCAGCATGGCCGGCCTCTAGCTCCGACCAAGATCTCGGGACTTTGCTCGGAGCCTCTTCGTAAGCTTTTGGTTTCTCTCGTTTGGTTTTTTACGCGTGGGCTTTGTGTGTGGATCTTTGCTAGAGTGCTTGCTAGCAACGAGAAGAAGAACGCCCAACAACAAGGCAGCCCCTGCCGCGTCTGTAGTGTTGTTGGTTTGTATTTGTGTACTACTACTGATTTTTTTTTCCTTTCCATCTCGCTTCATGGCCTTGGAGCTTCTTCTTGTTGGAGTTTTCTTCTCGCAGACGAGTGAAGCGTTTGTTTGGCCGGGTTTGGCCGAAGCATCTGTGGTAGAGGGTCCCCCAGACGTGAAAGTTTGTTCGATCCATCCATCTCTTTCGATCGAGAGTTGAAGTGTTAGAAAAAGCTTTTGGAGAGATGGCGAGCTTTCGACGTCAAGGAATATATATATATAAAAATCTTACAGCGAAAGCCGAACGAAGCAAAATCGTCATCTTCGCGTCGGCAAAACTTTGGCGTGGATCTCGCAAGAAAAAAAAAAGGATAGAAAACGATCTTGTATCACTATGACGCAATCTATTTTCCTTCTGACGCTTGTATCCTGTGAGCAACGCATCCATGAGCCAAAGAGTAAAACCAAAGTCGATATATTACAAACCTTTGATACGTTTCGTCTATCACTCTCGCAACTTCGAACAGGGTCTGCATCCC